AAACCCACCCAATTTGAACTCAAACTTGTACCTCATCATCATGCATGTCACAGGTATATACATGTAGGATGAATAGAAGACAAGATGAGTGGATCAGAGAGAAACTAAAATGCACTATGCTATAGCAATAGATAAAACCCTTGATTTGGTGAATGGAAAATGTTATAACTCTAGCAAATGCTTGATCTAAAAGTGATTATTGTGGGGTAAACAGATTGTAGAGATTCAAAGTAGAAAAACAGTTAAGATATAAAACTGTGAAGATAGGATCGTTAGACAATTTTGAATTTATTAGTATAGTACTAACCATTTCTAATAAAGTCATTTTTTTGTTCAGCTTCACCATTTTGAAGGAGTATTGGGGGATGATTCTTCTCTAAGTATTTCATGTGTTTCGCAAATGTTAATAAACTTATTTAGGAGGTATTAGTAACTTGTATCAAATCTAATTCTCTAAATTCTTTTCCCAAGACTCTTTTCAGCTTCTTCAAACATTTTGAATTTTTCTACAGTTTAATCTTTTGTTCTAAGCAAAAACACATAGGTATATTTCGAATAATCATCCATAAAAGTTAGAAAATCATCCATGATCTATATTATCATATACATCGGTATGTATTAATTCTAGCAATGTAGTAGTTCTAGAAACGGATTTAATGATTTCTTAATTCTTTGCTTGGGCACAACATTCATTATTTTGAGTAGTTAAGAACTTAAGATAGAAATTTTAAAAGAACTAACTCATGCGATTCTTTCTATTGCTACCAATGTATCCTAATCTACAATGTCAAAAATTATTATCATGCAAATCAATGATATAAGTAGAAATGGCAACATCTAGATTCAAACATTTTACCTAAGTTAAGCTGCATGCATAGTTTTTCTTTTTCTAATTTTTCCTCATTTTCTATTTGCAAGCTGAAATGAAGAGATTATTTAACAATTTCATAAGTTTGTAAAATTGTAACATCAAAGACGCTAAGGTTCAAAAAGAAAGATATGTAAACCAAGAAGAAAAAAACCTGGAAAACTTTTTGCCAAATAGCTTCTTGCCCAGTGAATGCTAAGGGCAAATTGATACCCTGGAGAGCCATCCTGTCAATCTCCTTTTCCCATCTTTCCCAGTCCCACCAAGCAAAGGAATCTACCAAAAAACAAATGGGGAAAGAGACAAATTATCAAAATATTCCTTGCAACTGTGAAGCTTGCTTCTGACAGCTAGAGACAAAAATAAAACCTAACATCAATAAATTACAACCAAACATGTAGAACTAGTGGATCTAACAAAACCTAAAACCACCAATAACTTCCACATCCAACAACTACAATGTTGGATTAGTAGTGTTCCATAATCCAAGGTGTTTGTTTGTAACATGTCAATGAAAACGTGGTATTTTCATTTTTCCATTAAATATTTATTCATAAAATTGAGGCTTACAGCTGGATGTAACAGCATTCTGGTACTAGTTCCAAGGAATAGGTCTTTGGATTAATACTCCGTCATCTTGAACATGAGGAAGAGAGCCTGAATTAGGCACTGAAGATAGTTGTGCACCACCAGTTTTATCCCATGATATATGTGCTCCACACCAAAACTTCAAGTACCAATGCAGACCAGCCAAAAGCTCCACCCCAGTGACTCCACTTATTCTAGGAAAAAGAAAATACACTGAGGTTAAGAAAGAGTTGATGTGAACACATACAGTTGTGTGCAGCCATCTGAAATCACTAGAAATATTGTTTGGAAGTAGGAATGTCTCTTGTAATGCTCTCTAAATCGTGTAAGTCATGTCATGTCAAAATATGGTCAACCCATATTTATAGCTATGTATAGTTGGGATCATGCTATATAAGGTTCATGTCGTGTATGAGCTGTGTTTAGATGGGTTGTAACTTGTATAGTTGGTGTGTGTCGACTGATTTATTAGACGGGCCTAATGTGTTTACCAGTTTATCACTAAATCCAAATCCTCTAACTTTCATGTCGGGGGCATGATTTTGGCAAGAACTAACTTGACTTCCTAAGAAGCATGCGCCCTATTTCATCAATGAAAATTATGAATTAGTATATTAGCTAATAGTGACAAATTAGTGGATGCTTTTGCAATGTATATGCGCTTATGTATATTGACATTCTGTTGTGGTTGAATTTCTTATCCAACTGCCTTTCATGTAATTCCGCTTTTATTTTAATACAATATGTTTCGTTCCCTATCAAAAATATGTATATTGACAATATTTTGAACCTTAACTTTACCCCACATAATTTATGGACTAATCTGAAGTCATTTAATATGGATAACCCACCAAGTTCATGTGAGCAGTTAGGGTTTGTGATGAAGAGACACTTTGCATGCACATTACACACGAATCAATTTTTATACTACTGTGATTTAAAACTTTGTTCCCATTCTACTGTAGTTTTTCTCTCATTTTCCAAATTATCGTAGTTTTATAGAAAAATGTGATTTAAATTCATACTTCTCAATGTAAAAACATATTTTTTATTTCACTGTAGTTTGTATTTAGAGTTTGTTTCGCGTAAATTTTTCATGTTGAAAAACATGGGTTTAGACGAGTAAAAATCTGAACATACAAAATCGTTGGAGTGCCACGCTTGCTAGAAGAAGGATGATTGCTTATTACAAAGCAAGATACTCCACCACATCGATCCTACAATGAAAGTAACTGTTAGTATAAGAGCTTTTCTCTGGTATACAACTAGACAAATGAAGATAAAATGAGATAATAAACAAGGGTAAGTCTATGGTACCAAAAAGTGTATTTTGGTATAGTATTATAAAATACTAACTTTTTGGGTTGAGCTACAAAATTTTGGCATGTTTACAATCAATCCGTATTTTTAGGATGGATACCATCTCAAACATCCCAAAATATTGACCTAGAAGCACCAATAGGAATACGAAATATAGGGATATGGAAATAGTGATACAAAAAACCTAAAAAAAATAGGATATGGATATGCCCAACATACAACTATAATAAAATTTATATACTATTATCTAGTGGTTATTTTTTAAATTTCTAGTAAACTTTTTAATAAGAATTAAAAACTACACAATTTTTACTTTCCAATAAGCATATAGATTGCATTATCATGGTATGCCCATAAAGGGGCGCAACTAATTAAAAGAATTAGAATGAAATTTAAATAGCTGATTTGCTTAGAAGACTTATTACCCAAAGAGAGTGAATTAACCCATTCTATTTTCTTTTGATATGTGGTAGTAGATAACATTTATGAAACACCTAAGCTATGTGAATTTTTCTTTATGAGCATCATTGTATTTGGTTTCAAGAGGAAGCAGTAAAGATTAAGATTTAAAGTTTATATATATTGCAGTGTGTATCCACTTCTATATCTAAAGTATATTTGTCTCAAATACCAATATCTAAGATGCATCCAGAAGCAAAAAATATTCTATTAACTATTGGATAATTGTAATGTGTATTCGATACATATTCAAGAATAAAGAAAAATTCTATTAATATGTGGAATGCATATCCAAGATCTATCATTGAGTATCCAAAGAGTATCATATTCGATATAGATACTTAGATCTAAACAAAATATGTGTGCTTCATATACGGTGTGACTTGACCCAAAAAAATGGTGTAACTTGACTCCAAAAATATATTTTCTTTAGATCAATCTGAAAAAAATATTTTGAAGTAAGAAGCTGATAAGTTTCGATACCATATATCATTCATCCTTGGATAACTGAGTAAGACGCTATACCAAAGAAGTATGATTCTTTATTCCTCAACCCAATTAGCATTGTGAAATAAAGTTTTGACAAACATCTAGGACCACCGATGGTGATGTTCAATTCCTATCAAGCACACTCTCCTTGTCTATGTGTTGGTCAAGGCTCCTTCTTATAATTCAACCTGAGATATCTTTCTTCAATCCTACTGTATAAACATACATTGAATTCTTTCTTTGGAAAAAAAATCTCATATTTCCTATAAACTTTTTTCTCTCAAAACAAAAAAAACGTATCAAAATTTTCAAAAAACATTACTTGAATCTGACTCAAAATTTTCATGTCTTATACAGCACAAAGTCCCACATATCAAAAATTTGGCAAATACTATGAGAAATAAAAATTGATTAATTCTATAGTAACCTTCAGTGGAAAGTGGAAGGAAATCAAGACTTCAAATACCTTAGAGATGATCTGAAACTCGAAACTGTTGTAGTGCGATGGAATGAGGCGATTGAGAACACCGCGAGCGGCGGATAATTGCACTGACGGCGGAGCTCTCTCTCGATTCTGAATTTCGAGAAGGCGTGAAATAGAGTCAACGACGATGGTCGATGAGCGAGCAATTGTGAAGAAGGTACATAGGCTGATTATGATGAAGATGGCCGAGAATGAGGAAGAAACAAGCCCTGAAACGAGGTGAAGGGCAGAAACCTTAGTGGTTGAGTGAGGTTTATAGTTGATATGTCCATATAGTTCAAGGAGCAATTTGATAAAGTGGATAATATGAAACAAAGGGTATAGTTCAGGGATATAAGTATAATTTTCCCTTTTATCAAATTGTAAGTTAATTAAAAGAACATTATGCCCTATAGATAATGGAAATTGAATTTTTCTTTGCATTTCTTGCAAAATGTTTGCTTTGCCAAATCCTTCTTTCTTTGCACTGCACGAAGGTAATGTATCTGACACTATTTTGAACATTGTTGCTTGTTAGAGTCACAGGTGAATGGGCACCGTTATACCCTGTTGGAGAAGTTAATTTGTAAAATTATTACACAATACTAGAATGGTGTAAGTTTCTTTGGTCAAGGTTTGGTATTAACTTGTATATTTAGCCTTGGTATCTCGCAACAAAATGGTATTAATGTTGCTATCTATTGTTTTGGATGTCGAGCTAGTAGAGTTTGAGTGTATTTAGACTTGACTTGGTTGTAATTGGAGTAAACTGAAGCTGAAGTTCAATGAGCGAGCTTTCAAAATAAACTCATATTGAAATCAAACTAAATTTTTCAACATAAATTTTTGAAAACTGAACACTAGAATTTAATAGTCAATTCTAAAATCTTCAATTTCTTAACCAAAATCCTTTAAAATTTATACAATCAACAATAAATCAAACACTAGAAATTCTAATTTTAAAAAAAAATCAATTAGGGAAGAGAGGGAAGTAGAAATGCATATGATCTAGTTAATTGGGAACAAATTTAGGGTTATTCATTTTTTGGAAAGTGGTTATTTAAGAATAAAATAAGAATTATTTATAAACAAGCAGCTATTTGGGTTGAGCGGAGCCACACATTACTTAGCTTTGGCTCGTTTAGTAATCGAGTTTGAAAATTCTATGAGATTCGGTTCTTTTTTGTTATTTGAATAAGCTAAAATCGAGTTGAGTCTGAGCTGGTGTTTAACAATACTATTCTTGTTGAACTCTACGGCCAACTACGGACCCAACATCACATCTAAAGGTTTGAAAGTGATTTAATATTATACAGTATTTCTTAAATGACTCATAATTATATAGAATTCGTCACACTCTTTAATTTCTTAAATGGCTCCAAAATCTTCTTAAATGGCTCATTTAAAAAATTAATCCCACTATACTAAATTTAAAGTTAATTTCTTTGCTTACATTATTTAAAATTAATTTCTACCTATTATTTATTAAAAATAAAGTCAAATTTTTTTCAAAATACATAACTCAATATAATTTTTTAACATATATATATTATTGTGTATGAATAATGTATAAAATAAAAGTTGTGTTAAATTACAAAGTAATTAAATATTCAATGATCGAACATGTAATAGAATTAAGTGATGTGATGTGATGTGATATTTTTTGGAGGAAAAATATATAAGGGATAAAATTCAACTTGCTATCTGATTTATTATATAGATAGGTACTTAAGTGTACAAAAAACTTTTCAAAAATTTTAAATCCACTGCTATTTTAGATTAACTTTCAAACTAGAGTATAAACGTGTCTTTCCATAAATTGATAACCCATTAACAAGTTAGTTCCAACGATGTGAATTAGAATCAGCCTTAGTTGGCTCAGCGTAATCTTATTTTCCTGTTGGTAAAAATATAAATAAGAAAATGTCAATGACCTAAACAATGACATTCCAATAACACACAATTACTGTGTCATAATTTACAATTAAAAAGGTTAAGACAAACTTACTTTGAGATTTGTATAGTGTTTGACAATTAAAACCGCCTTTGAAGGATGTACAAAATTTGAAAGCACAGATATTTGGTCATTTGGGATTAGTTGAGAACCTGAAAGTTTAAAGCATGCACAAATAATATTTTCATCTTAAAAATGACCCTAAAATTTTGAAACTTCATAAAATAAAATTACGAGTGCAACATTGGTGGGCTCGGCTGACCCGAATTCAACCCAAAAATTTAGTATTTGACCAAGAATCAATGTTACTAGGACATAATTTTAAAAATTTTATGATTATAATCATTGAATGTACTTTCCTATCAATTAAATAGTTATAATGAATTAAGTTTCCAAATTATTTTCCAATAGTATTATTGTTTTTCCAATTCTAGTCCAAATCAAATCTGTGAAACATAAAGGGTTAATTATAAAATGCCCCTTCAAATTTGAATCAAGTTGTAATCAACTCCATTTAGTTTGAATTTCAACAAATTATTCCCTTAAAGTTTGTACATTTTTCAATTAACTCAAATTGTTGTTTTAGACATTGAAAAATAATGGACATTAAGTAACATAATCTCATATTTATTTAAAAGAGAAAATCACCTTGAATTCAAATTTTTTTTCTAACGTCAAAAAACTTCTCATTCTTCTTCCCAAAACAAAATAATGCGAAGGGTGATGATCTTATCTCTCTGTAGAATAGATCATGTAATTTGCAAATGAATGTCTTCTGTCATTTAGCACTATCAAAATTAATAGCTTGACTTAATTTATAAATATTTAAACTTTGAGGAGATAAATTGTTGAAACTAAAATTATAAGGAGTTGATTGAATGTGACCTAAACTTGAAGGAGGCATTTTATAATTAATCTAAATTGAACCCAAGTTAAAAATTTAAATAAAAGTAATACTCAAATCAAAGAGTTTTAGTTAACAGAGTTGAAAATTTTATAACTTAGTTTAAGTTTAATTTGAGTTGCATGCACTCCTAAATAGAAAACCCCAAAGAAACAATGCGAGGATTTGCTTACCTATAGAACAAACGATTTCAAAACTTACTATGTAACAAGGAAAATTTGAGCATTCATGTAAGCACCCCCGGATTATGTATCTTCTAGGTGATGAAAGATTATCTACTCCAGAGTCGAATTCCTTGGAACTTGGTTGAAACTGTTTCCAATTACTGCAAAGCACTACCCTTTTACACATGATTAATTACGCTACACTACACAACACAACAGTAGATGCCTTATTCCATTCTCATCTTTCACTGAAGACAGGCAAATATGTCAGATTTGGACGTTGCCTAACCCAGATCATCGTGGGCAGAGCCAGAAATTTTATTTAGGATGAATATTTTAATTATGTAATCTAATTTTTTTTCTTCTAATCAATCACACTATATAACATATTTATATTTATTATATTATTTTTGATATATGAAGTCCATTTAACATAAATATTTTCAAAAAAAAAAATGTATATTGTCAGGGGCGGAGCTATGAATATTTATGATAGAGACAAAATATAACTGGTATAAAAAACATATTAAGCCGAAATTAATACAAAAAAATTCAGTTCAAGAATAAAAAAAAAGTAAAAATCAACACTAAATTATTGTGAAATAGTAAATTCAATTTTTATTTAGCCGAAACAAAAACCTTAACAAAAAGACACAAAATAATTTTTTTAGTACATTTTAACCTAATTATATATTTCAATAAAATTTAAATTTTTTTAAAATTTCTAAAATTTTTTGTATATGAATTAAATGTAAATTAATTTTCGTATTTTATTAAGTTATAGAATACTATTACTAAAAAAAATGGTAAATGAAAACTAAAAATCATTTTTAAAAGTAACAAACATTGTGTTAGATAAAGAGAAATATTGTATTTTCGTCAATATACAAATAAAACATTGACTAAATTCAAAATTAACATATTTATTTTAGAGGGTTAGTGGTCCACTAATATATTAAAAAAAAAACAAACTAGAACCATTATTAAAATTTTCAAAAATTTAGGGGGTAAATATAATGTATAAAATAATTTTATAGGTTGGTGCAAGAAAGGACAAAAAAACTCAAGGAACTGATTTCTCGTGTATTGAGCTTTTCTCTATTTCTTCTCTTTTTCTTGTTGTTGGGCAGTGGACAACTGAAAGTGAGTGATACAGAGAGAAAAAAAAAAAGATAAGATTGGTGTTAGTCAAGTGGGCCAAAAGTTTTATTTTTAATGTTGGGCCAAAAATTTTGTTTTTAATATTGAGCTAAAATTTTTATTTTTTAATAAATTTGGGTGGATTGTGATAAGTCAAATATTTAATTTTTGAAGTAAAGTGGGTTGAAAATTCTTAGAGTTCGTTTGGTTATCGTATTGTAAAAAAGTATTAATTATATATTGAATAAAACGCCAACTTTTAATCTCTTTTTACTCTCATACTTCCCATGGTGATGAAGTCATTCCCATGGTGAGAGAATGGTTGATTCAAATTTCACAGATTATAGATTAAATAAACCCTAAATTAAACAGATTGTTATTTTAAACAGTAATAATTTTTGACTCATTTCATATTACTTTTTGTTTTTACTTTTTGCTAAATTTATAGTACGACCTCCTATTTTCCCTACCCTACAACATAGCTATAAGATAGCACCAGTATTCGAGGACTGCCTGGCCCCCAACGCCAAACCTGCAATGCCGCCGTCTACTTACACCATCTATAACTTGTCATATTTCTGTAAGCCCTATACATATAGCTGCTTAGCTGTTCTCTCTCTCTCTCTCTCTCTGAGCTTCCCTGTAATGCAGCTTTAATTTACTGTTAGGCATTGACGGGTCGTGTCTTTAAGCATCTCTTTGAATTTTTAAATAAACCCTAAATTAAACAGATTGTTATTTTAAACAGTAATAATTTTTGACTCATTTCATTTTACTTTTTGCTAAATTTATACTACGAAAAACAGCATCAGAGAAACTCTGAAACGTTACAGACCGGGCTCGCTTGATTGAATTACCAGAATATTTGTTTCTATGTATAGCCACAACATTGGTGTATTTTCTAAATGCTCCCATACCCATGAGAAAGTCTTTGTTGATCTTGCTGTAATGCCTATCTCTTTCCTCTAGTTTGAACATCCCATCCCGAGTGAAAGCCCCAAATTCCTCAGAACGTACTAGTCGAATCACTTTCCGAATCGGCCATCACAATTTCACCATCATCCACAGTTATCGAGACTTGTTCATCGATTTGAACGTTCCCCATTTGTTCTTTGAATGAACAAGTGAGAATAAGTTCGAAAACAAGATCTCTACAATTCAAGAATTACAGTTCTTGGTGTACGAAAAGCTTACGTCTAAACTCTTGAAAGTTGTTGGCCTGTGAAGAAAATTTTCTTGAAGAGGTGGACAAGAGCTGTAAAGGAGAGAAGAAGACCAGTTTATATATGTACTTGTCTGAGAGAGAGAGATGAAACCGACTCAATTCCGTTAGGATTCGGGAGTGTTTTGGCGGTTTATCCCAACAAAGTTTTCTTGCCCCCTTGTCCAAAAACAAAGAAAAGGAGGGTGATAGTTTTTCTTGTTATTCCAGAATTTGATTTGAATGGTTGAAAATACCATAATACCCCTGATGATACATGCCATGCCAGGATGTCGAGCGGGTGGTAATAATAATGGGAGATTATTTGATGCATTTAACAGCAGGCATGATTCCTCATATGAATCGTTTTCAAATTGATTTATAGTCCTTAAACCTATCTACTTCTATATCAGCTCACCACATGAGCTAATCTGAGCTCCCAATTCAGATCAATTCCACCCTACATCAGTCAATTTGTGTGCGGTGGTTGATCAATGATGGATTGGGATTTGAGGGCAGGCTCGATTGCCCCAAAGGACCGTATTATTGAATATCTGATAAGAGACATTTTTATTGCTACTTCGACACTATGAGAAGAACACGCTCTCTAAACCGATAAAACAAATGCAAAAGGTAAAAATATCGAACTTAAAAGTCCATCAAATTTAAAGAAAATTCTCTGTGAACATGGGGGGGCCTAAAAGAGTGATGTTGTTGCTGTATCTTGTATAGTATTAGTAGGAATGGAAACTAATAAAAAGATAAACATTCATGGATCAAGAAGGTAAATTAGTTCTACCTTTCTAGTGTATTTGTCTGCATTCATTGTATAAATAAAGGCAAGGAAACAAGGTGCGTCATCTGAGATACTTGTACTACACACGCACGCACACAAAAGAAAAAAACAAGAGGGTAATAAAGCCAGTCATGGAGCATTCTTGAGTTGAAGTACCCCATCAGTTTCCTCAATGTGTAGGCATTTAGTGACCAGAGTCAATAAAGCATCTGGCTGAACTTCCGCTCCGTTAGCCTTCCAAAAAAAATAAAAATCAGTCTATAACCCAAGATGAGAGTGACTACATTATCAGGCATCTCTCATTCAGTCTGACCTCTATCGTGAGAACATTGGACACCATGCCATTATATGTTGCAACATTGGCATCGATTACTTGAAGTTCCAACAACTTCAAAGCTTCCATCAACATTGCAAACCCTCCACGCTTGTGCTTGTTAATGATCTTAAGAAGGAAAGATCTTGCACCAATCTGGCTTACTTCCACTGTTGATGATACCTAAACAAAAATGAATAAGGAATCCAATGAAGTATTTTCAGTCGTGATATGTATTATTGAAGTTATACGCATACTGCTAGCCTACTTTTACCAGGAAATTGTAATTATAATCAGAATTGGGTGTATAAAACGAGGTTTTTATGGATCTTTATACCTCCAGTTGTTTATTTGCACCAAGAGTGGATGAACTTGGATTGTCCTTAGCAGCAGGAGGAATTTGAGTGCTTTCAGGTGCCTCCCTGAGCTCATCTTGAAGTGTATTGACATCATTCTGCAATTCCTGTATATACTCTATTGCGCCTCCCAGAATTGATGCTTCATCCATCTGTAACTTCAAATTTTCTGTCCTAACCGGATGATTGGCAAACCCAACATCTTGCAGAATGTTATAAAATTCATCCAGAAAGGCATAGATGTTGTCATTAGTTTTGTATTGGGTTGCGATGAAGTCTGTGAAATTGTGATTTACAGGTACCTTGAGCAATAAAATAATTTCTTTACATTGAGAAGAAAATGACAAGTACCATGTCCGGATAACAGCCAAACGAGTCTTACTCTAACCATCTTTGAACTGAAGAGCTCAATAAGCCCACCTCCAACTGGAATCAGAACTTGGGTTCCAATTGAGTCCTGCCAAGAGAAAATTGTATTCTCCAAGTTAGGTGACTTGCATAAAGGATCAACCATGCCATAGCGATGGTGTGTGTGAGAGAGAGAGAGAGAGAGATTTAAGTACCCACCTGGGAATGATTTGGATTGGAGGTCTTGGCATGACTAAGCCACCTTGGTTGGGTTGATATGACTACTTCGCTATGAATCCTGCTTTTAGTCTCACTTATTAGAAATTTTGCTCTATTGCAGCAACCTAATCAAATAAATCTAGAAACATAGTGAGTGGATGCGGGGAGAGAGAGAGAGAGGGGTACCCAGAATACACGGGAATGGAAGAAGGCAAACTGGCTAGTGCTTCACAAGCCTTAGTTCTTATGGGATGTTTAATGTAGCCATCCCTGCATAGAGGAAGCAGATGTTTCTCCACACAGTTTTCCTCTGTGACATTGACATGGTCACCACTTCCACCACCACAACAACAGTCCATCCATTCAATAAACCTACACAACCATTTAACAATGGAATAGAAACTATAGATTGAAGTTGATAAAGATGAAAAAGACATTAATATGGGTTCTGTGTGGCAAATTAGCTGTTAGTACCTTGAAGGATCATCCCCCAACTTCCAAACCACAATGTAGTCCCATCCTTCACCCTCAACAAGGGGTCTTAGCCACTTCACTGCTCCCTCCAAAGCCCTCATATCTGCGTCTCTAACTGTCTTTTCTTCAACGACTTTCTGGGTTAGCATTTAAACTCCCTCTGAAATATCCACCACGTTACAAGTGTTCTGGAAAGAATAAAATCAGAAGAATCAAGTCAGAAGAATCAAATAATCCGGCATCTCTAAAAAAACAAATACCCAAAAAAAAGGAAGAGAGAGAGTGGGTGTGCTGCAGCAAAAGTGTCGTCGAAAGAAATGCGATGGCCGTCCTTTCTCAGTATCCACAAGCACGCCATCACAGTCGAAGAGAGGCGCCGATGGAAGTACAGAAAGAGAAGTAGACAAGCATGTGACGCAACTACGACAGCGTTTTGTAATGACCAAATATGGCTTGAGCAATAAATTAACAGTAATGCTATTGGGACATAGAAAGAGGACATAAAATAGGAACTTAATCATGCTGATGATCAGTAATGCCTATTGTAGCCTTTTATAAGCGTGATAACCAATGTACCAATCTAGTAAATATGTCCAATTTTTTACCCTTTCTATACATTGCAGAATATGTATGTAACCTAATATAAAATATTATGCTATAGACAATTCCAAATTGGAGTAATAGTTGGCAATATAAAATACTAATTATGGAGTAATAAAAAAAATTTAATCATAAAAATATTTGTATTCATACTTAAAATAATGATAGTGAACGAGACTGGGAGTGGTGGAAAACGGTGATGGTTGTGGTGGGCTGTGACAATTGTGATGGTAGTGATAGCCATGAATGATAACGGTGATGATAGTGATGATTTTTGTGTGACGATAGTGGTAGTGACGACAATAGTGGGTGAGGGTGGGGGGGGGTGACGGTGATGACGGGTGGCAGTGGTGGTGGGTGTGAGTGGTAATGGGCGATGACAAATGCTTGTGGGTGATAGTGGTGGTGGTAAGTGTGGTGAGGGTGGGTGGCGACAGCAGTGGGTAACGATGGTAATGGTGGTGGTAGGAGTGGGTGACAATGGTTGACAACAGTAGTATGCGATGATGGGTGGTGGTGGTGGATAATAGTAGACAACGATAGTGATGGTGATAGCGGATGGTGGTGAGATGATGGTAGTAGAGGTAATAAAAATGAAAATGAGATGATGATGGTGATGACAGTAGACAACAATGGTAACAATCGATAGTTGGGGGGGGGGGGTGGGGGTGGTAGTGTTGACAGTGCGATAGTGGTGGTGAAATATTTTTATAGAGAAGTAATTTTAAAGAAGTAGAAATTATTTTTTTTTCTTTTACTTACTTATTTAAGTGGTAAAATTACTTTTAACTCATTTAAAAATAATTTTTTCAAATACTATTTTTTTAAGTGTTTATGAGAAATAATAAGTCCTAAAACCACTTTTGAAAAGTTGATCCAAACATAAGGGACCTATTTTTTCTATTAGATTTGGAAAGTTAATATTAGCCGTCAGATTAATTTTTAAAAAAATTTAAAACAATATTAACCGTGAAATACAAAAGTTATTTTTTACGTTTTCAATCTTTGTACTTTATTATATAGGCCATCTGGATATGTTTAAGAGTAACAGTACCATTTCTTGAATTATACACATGTGTTGATTATGTGTAGGGTTCAATCTAAATTGGAGCTATTAAAAGTGTCAAATACTAGATTTGTAGCATATTATATTTTATTGAAGTGACCTATTGACTATAGAGAGTTTTTTTAAACCTATCATAATTCTCAAATTAGGAAAAAAATTGTTGAAATCTGGGAATGAACAGACAACAAAAAATATATTATGAGCGGTAGAAAGCATGTGAATAAATTTGCCCAGATTAAAAAATTTATGCTTGACAAATGGGAGAAGATGAATATTCCTAGACTAGCAATAGGAGCACTAAATCAATGTAGGGAAGTGACCATAGGTGTTAAAAAAATATTTGACAGAAGATGTAAAAGAAACAAAACAATTGCGAGAATGGTATGCACATTTTCATTCACAAAAAGGTTTTTATGCTATGGCGTTTGCTCAAAGAGATGTTGTGACCATGGATGCTATTGATTGATGATCAACGTATAACTCAGAAACTCTAGAATAATCAGATGTGGCAAAAAAAAAAAACTAATTTAAGTTTATTATTTTTATTTCTATTGTAATTATCATTATTAATGTGTTTTATTATTTGAGAAATTGGTTTTCATTCATTCAAATATTCGTCTTCAATCACATTTTACTAAAGGCAACAAATATGAGCCTTTTAAGATATGTGAAATAAATTCAGAGTACACATATATCGATGTTTCTATTGTGAGTTTGGAGGATTTACGGTGAAAATCCTTGGAGGATAACAATATGGATAGCTCTGCCATTGCTAAAGAGGAAGATCGGGAAGATTTATCCTTACACGCTTCTGTGTTCATTTTTGTTGACAGGCCACCACTCTGTCATTATGAACTGCATCAAATTTAAACTTTCAACTTTGTAAGAGAAGAGAATACTGCAAATGATAAAGAAAAAAGAGTTCATAATTAATATTTGTACTCCAGAATTCTTTGTATTGTTGAATAATTTTAATTTGAAGCTTGTTAGGCATTTAAGAGTTTTACTTTGATTTGTGCTTCAAGTAGGAAATTATTTAATTACTCTCTAGTATATTATTTTTCAAATTTTAAGCATTTAAATTTATATTATATCTTTCTGTGATTTTATTTTTTGATAATTAAATATGTAACCATTATTTTTTTATATGTATAATGTATAACTATGTATAATTTTTTGTAATAATGAAAACGATTTGAATAAGAGTTCAAAGTAAACTGCAACCTAAAATAACGTATCAACTAAGCTTACTCTTATTGCATAGCACATTAAAAAAAATAATATATCCCACATTTATATCCCACGAACCCAACCGACCCACAATCTAGATAACCCAACAAAACAAGTCATTAGGCAAGGCATTAACACTAGTAGGCTACAAGGCCAGTGGTGATGACACGAAATGTGTCGAACCATTCCAGATTAGCTAGGTGGTGTGTACACCATTCATATTCGTTATACCATGTCAAGCATTTGGTGATGTATTTGTCACTTCTATAGATCATCTTTATTACTAAACAGGAAACATGGTTGACATGTGATTAACAAAATTTAAAAGTTTAATTACTAAATATCTTACAATATAAGAGAATATATAATTATCAAGAATAGATTTATTAAAGTTGTACTTAATATATAATAACAAAAATAAAAAATACATTAAAGAAATGAATAATTGAAAAAGTAAGAGCAATTATTTTAATTATATATGTTTATTACATGTCGACGAAAAAAATTAATGATTATTGACTATTAAGATGTTAGCCTATAAATTTACATTAAATGATTAGATATAACATTTACTTATCATGAAGTATTGAATTTTTTATGAATAATATATTATTATCACTGTATTTGTGATAAATTATATAATTTTATATATAACACACAATTATCTATAATGCGTCTCCAATATACCAACGCCCAACTTTTTAAAAAGAATTATCTCCGTATCGTATTTTATCGTTTGTTCGTATTTGTGCTTTTATTCTTGCAGTGGTTGGCCTCTACGGGATTAAACTTTGGAAACTTTATAAGACCAAGTTCAATCTAATCGCTGACAGAGCCATCAACTTGTAGCTTATCAACATCGGCCATATGATTAGGCACATTCGCTCTTAGGAAGTCGGCAATTGATGTGGGACAGTTATGAAACATTAACACTTCTCAAACATGTTTCCCAAAAATTTAGTTAGTATTTTTACATAACAAAAATCAGTAAAAATGATTTTCAATTAGGTATGTATATCTCAAAAATTTACTTCTTGCTATTGATGTATTTTCATATTTGCGAACTAACGTTGGACTTGTGCTTAAAGACATTATAATAAAAAATTATGTATTCTACGAGTCAATTGACTTCCATTAGACCACATTGACCTACAGAGGAACGTGCCCGCAATAATATCACTATCAAATGTTGTAAATGAGCTTACTAAAGAAAAAGTTAAGTGTTTTTCAAGAGACTAATTTGAAATTCATGTAGAGTGGAACTTTACAGTATCAAACACAAGATATTTCTTTCAAAGAATAAGACATTTTTTGAATAAGTCATTTCATTTGGGACTCTACATATCCACTCTTTTTTCCTATTCAATGATCAACTATTTGTCTCTGTGTTTTACTTTGAGAATTACTTACAGTTAAAAAGATATCATAGGGGGCTTTTTATTAAAAAATAAAAAATTATATTTTTAAAAAAAAAATTATCTACATATAGTAACATAAAGAGAGAGATACCTAATTTTTTGGACCCATTAAATTCAAAATTTAAGTCATGCCTTCCACTAGACGACCAAAATGCTTCAAAAACTAGAGATATAAAAAAAAACAAAAAATCGTTCAATTCTACTTTTTGATTGTCCTCTCTGGGACCCAATTATGCTCATCTTTCTTCGGATTGGGTTCTAATTTAGCTTTTGGTTGTCTTCTTTGGAGTTGAATTTCGCTGGCATGTTGGATATCTTAGTAGGATAAAACTGTGCTGTCTAAATTTATTTACTAAATCGTATATCTCAAATAATGTGTCAAAATCCTACGCATGAATGTTGGTAGAGTTAATGAACATCACTGATCCAACTACCTACACTGATTTATGATACAAAATTTAGTAAATAATTTAATAATACTAATGCTATTGGGATAAAATTTGGGGACTGAATATATTATGACCATCGGACTGATAGTGTTGGGACCCACTGACAATTTAATGTTAGAAGCCATTGTCAATCTAATAACCATAATCATTAAGTCATCAAATTATATTATTAAATTATATTCCAATAGCATTACTTATTTGATAAACATAACATTGCTCATCTTAGTAGCTTTCACTTCCTTGAATACTAGACGAAGGAAATGAAAAACTGGGGGCAGTTGAAGAGGGATTTGATAATGGGTCCAACCATATGACAAAAGTGGCCATGTAACAAATGACACACACCCCCAAGGGGGCTAGAATTTCAAGGAGGAGAGTGTCATCTT